CCATCAGCCACTGAAAGCCCTATGGAGCACAATTTGACCGTGACCTCGTGTGGCGCCCCGAGTCGGGGTGGAGTCCCCAGTAATAGTGGCGTCTGTGACTGGCAGTTGATGTCAGAGGTGTCTCTGTGATGGGCTCTGGCTGTCGCCGAGCCCCCTCGTGGAGGGAATTAGCCAGAACTGACCACCTTATCCTTTGACTGCCCTTCTGTCCCCTTGTCAATTTGTTCTAGGTCTTCATATCATCTATTTCCTGCACAATGGAGGTGCCTCTCTGTCTTACTTTGCTATTGTTCTTAGTTTTTCTGTACGTTTTTCTACGACACCCAGGATAGCGAAATCTCTAGAGACAGTAACTGGACCCGTGGCTTCTTGGGGGCATGGGTGGGCTGGGAGGGAATAAGAAGCTAATGACCACGAACACAAGAAAGGAGGAGGTTTCCGTAACTGATTGTGGTGATACTCGTACAACTCTTCCTAAGAGGCTCCAACTGTTGAATCGTACGTGATGTGAGTTCTATGCCAATAAATCTGTTAAAAAACACACACCCATTTCACTGAAATCTTTCTGGGACCCAAAATAAAAATCTCTTGGAGGGAAGGGTTTGGGCAGAGAGAGAAGAGAAAGGACGCTGAAGTGCTGTTCCTGGCATGACCGTCGCCCATGATAAGCACAGCGTTTTTTCCGGTCTTCTCTCAAGGCTCGTGTGAGAGACAACGGACCCTGCACTGGCTTTTCCCCCCAGACTTGCTATCAAGCCTTGGTCTTATTTTGCAGTTTTCCAAAACCTGTTGTGGAGACGATCTGCATAATCAGCCAAAAAGAACAGAAAGAAAATATTCTCTCTTCTTAAAGGTGAAGTTTGAGCGAGTGAAATCAGTCACATACGAAGGCTGGGTATGTGACTATTTCCAAGGAACACCATTGGAATGTGAGCAAGCCGGTACCTTGCTTAGAAAAGGTCTGGGCCTCCGATGGCTGTCCCTTGCTGGAAGGAGTAGCATAGTTTGTATGAACGATCTAGCCAGCTACTCACACCCAGAGTCACTTGCCAAAACGAACTGATCGCCACTCAACCTACGAGCAAGAACCAGTGGTGCTGAAGGAAGCCGCGTCAGCTGCACTGGCCAAAAGCAAGGCTCCGGGAATGGACGGAATACCAATGGAAGCTTCAACAAGCTGAAGGAGCCCTGGAAGCACTTCCTCGTATACGCCAAGAATTTTGGAAGACGGCAACCGGGCCAACCGAAAGAGACCCCCCTCTGTAGGCATTCCAAAGAAAGGTGGCCCAACAGCTGCGCGGATGACAGGACAGCGGCATCAGTATCCCCGCCAGGGGTTACATGAAGAGGGGTGTAGCTGCAGGGTTAAAGGAAGGCTTACGAACCCCTGCGATATGCCAACGGCACAACCTTGCGTACTGCAGGTGAGGGGACTTGAGGCACGTATGGATGGAGGAGGGTTACAGTCCTCGGTATGTCTTATGACCCAATGTAAAGACCAAAGTCCTCACACCTGAGCCAATAGGTGATATTGTGATAAACGGAGAAAAGACAGAGTTGCCAAGGGTTTTGCTTTGTTTAGATCCACAACCGATGCTCATAATGGAGGCAGCAGTCAACAGATCACATGGCTCACTGAATTGGGTAAATCGACTTCACAAGGCCTCTTTAAAGTGTTGAAGAACAAGGGTGTCCCTTTGATGATGAAGGCGCGCCTGGACCCTGTCATGGTCTCCTTAATCGCCTCATAAGGATGTGAAAGTTGGACCCCGAATAATGAAGCCGGAAGAGCAATCGATGCGTTTGAATTGTGGTGCTGCCGAGGAATGTGGAAGTCACCAGGAACTGCCAAAAGAACTGGCAAATCTTTCGTGGAAGAAGCACAACCAGAAGGCTCCTTCTGAGGCAAGAATGGCGAGGCACTTTGGACACGGTATCGCGCGAGATCGGCCCCTGGGTAAAAGCATCACGCTTGGTCAAGCAGAGGGGCAGCGGAAGAGGAAGGCTCTCCGTGAGCTGGCCTGGCACAGCGGCTGCAGCCAGGGGCTCACGTAACAATTGTGAGGATGGCACAGGACCACGCAGTGCTTCCTTCTGCGATGCACAGCTCACACGCTAAGGTCCGAATCCACTCGATGGCACCTGAGCAGCACCACCCTGACCCAGGGACCCCGCATGTGACAGAGCAGGGCTGTGTTCCATAGGTCTTTCCGTGCCGGGTTTATTCACAAACAGACCACCGGCTTTTCTCCCAAGGCACCGCTGAACGGGCCACCTTGCTGTAAGTGGGCACGCAGGCATGTTTACCTTTACCATGTACACCCAGGGACTCCTCGGTTTATCTTGTAAGAGCATCATTCACTCTGGGCTGCCATGAGTAAGACTGGGGAGGCACAACTCTACCGTGTGTGTGTGTGTGTGTGTGTGTGTGTGTGTGTGTGTGTGTGTGTGACCTGCCCCAGAGATGAGCCCTTGCTCGTCCCCATTGGAGGGTTTCGATGAGTATCCTTACAGCAGTGGTTCTCAACCTTCCTGATGCCGCAACCCTTGAATACAGTTCCTCATGTTGTGGTGACCCCCACCCATAACATTACTTTCATTGCTACTTCATCACTGTCATTTTGCTACTGTGATGAATCGGACAACCCCTGTGAAAGAGGTCGAGACCCACAGGTTGAGAATCCCTGCCTTACAGCCTTAACCAACAGGCTGCTAGTCCGTGGCACTAGAGCCTCTATAGTCACAACCAAGCTCCATTCACTCACTCACTCACTCATTCATTCCTTCATTCACTCATTCATTCATTCACTCATTCATTACCAAGCGTCTCCTTTCTGTGCCTTCCTTGCCTCTCCTCCTTCAAGTTCCGCCGAGCAGCGCCCCAGCCCCTCATCCCCTCCCTCCCGGGACCGCCGCAGCACCTACCTCTCACGGAGCTGCTGGCCGACCAGAGCGGGATGCTGTTCCGCTTCTGATAAAACAGGATGTAGGCTCCGCGGGTACTGACCTCCTCTTCCCGCAGTGGCTCCACTGTGCTGTCGTCGTAACTGTACCACTGGCCATCCAGGGAGTTCCGGCAGTAGGCTAAAAAGGTCACAACCCACCAACTCTCAATGATCGGAGCCCCCCAAAGGCAAGAAGACATTCCCCACGGACACAGATGAAAACTGGAACCTGCTGGTAAGGGAACGGGAACAATCAGCTCTGTGGTGGCCATCAGTGAACTTGCAGGATTGGAGATCCATCAACAGGTGGCACGCCCACATCCTGACTGTCTCCAATAAATCCAAAAACCACACGGAATCCCATCAAGTCAATTCCAACTGACAGAGACGCTATAGGACAGAGTTCGGGAGAAAGGTGGGGCTTTCTCCTCTCGTAAAGAGTTACAGTCACAGGCTCAGAAACGCACAGGGGCAATTCCACCGGATCCTATCGGCAAGCTAAGAATGGGACCCAAATTTGATGGCCATGATAGGACAGAGTAGAACAGGCCCTATGGGTTTCCAGGGTGGTAATTTTCACAGGAGCACAAAGCCTCTGCTTTTTATCTCAAGGTGGCTAGTGGATTCGAACCACTGACCTGTGTAACCCACTATGCCACCAGAGCTCCCTCAGTAAAAGGGAGGCCTCAATGATGTAGACGGCATTCTCTCTAGCTCTTGTGGGAAGCATTCAAAGTGATTACCTCTAATGACGTGGGGCACACAGTGGGATCACCATGCACTTACAAAAATATCGCACGTTTTTAAAAGCGCCAATTGTCTATTTTGTCCTGGAATAGAATAGGCCAGGGTGCACTAAATGCAGGAAGGCGAAATACTTTCCACACGTGTGTTTGGTCTCTCTCCATCCGTGTGCACATACGGGTACAACACATCCGCGTTACGAGGACTCATCTAGGCTTGGTTGCTTTTGTCTGTCTTCTGAGAAACATTTGCTATGGACAATGTTGTAGCATCACTGGATGATGCGATCACTTGCTGGTGTTCGCTCAGGTGTTCCACATTCTGGTTTATGAAGGTACTGATTTTAAAAGGTGATGGTAATGGAAACTGAAAAGTCAGAGCTGACGTACGAAGCATTGGTTGAAACAGGGCTAGTCCCGTCGACGACTCCCTGTCCATTTTTAGATACACAGACTCTCACACACATGTATGTGTGTATTGTAAATGGACGTGTGTATGAACTAGGCCTTGATGCAACTGGGCAAGTCGAGCTATTGAGTCGGTCACGTTTTTGTTAGGTGGGTGTGGCGGTTACATAACTTGTCAACTTGGGAAGAGGTGGAGTCTAGCCTGTTGATCAGCTCATGGCCAATGTGGGCATGGCTTCTCCTGAGGAGTCTGGGAACTCCTCTATCTTTCTCCCTGGAGGGGGGACGGACACTCTCTCTGGTTCGTCTCCCTCACAGACATTCCTGTTGACAATCCAGATAGAGCTACACTGATGCAGCCAGAGCTCTGTAGCTGGAGGAGCAACACGGAAACCCACACCAGTGCTGCAATGCTTCCATCGCCACTGGATCCACAAGACTTTCCACCCACTGGCCTGTGATCTTCCAGCACTCAGCATCATTGCATGTGTTGTATGAGTCTGAAGAGGAACTTATAGACTGGTATCAGACATATGGGTTAATATCGGACTTAAGGACTTGATCTGGACTGGGCTGGGATGTTTTCTCAAGATACAATTGCTCTTTGATCTAAAGCTCTTTCATATACACATGAGGGTTTATGAATTTGTTTCTCTGGTCAACCCAGACTCACACAGTGGGTGATACCGTATCATAGAGTTTGACTTCATTAAAAATATTTTCCATTTATCAGTGATGTGCGCAACAGACACAGTGAGTACAAAAATGCACCTATGGTAAGATAGCAATTAGGTCAAATGCATGGTATGGGGCAGCTATGAACAGCCAAGGGCCTGCAGTGTGGGAAGCACAGGGCACACGTTAGGGGAGATGCATTGCATCCCCAGCCCTAATCCCACTGCCCTCCCATGGCAAATGCTAGCTAGCATGCCCATGCTGCAGAACGTTCCCTGGAGCCACAGGGACCAGGACCTCGTGGAGAGAGCTGCTGCACAGCACAGAGCCATCTGGGCTGCAGAAACCCAGTTACATTTCTGAACCTCTGGAAGAAGGAGCCCTGGGGGCAGAGTAGGTTGTGCACTGGGCTGTTGACCACTAGGTCAGCGGTTTGAAACCACCAAGCCACTCTTCGGGAGAAAGGCGAGGCTTTCTGTTCCTGTCAGGAGCGACAGTCTTGGAAACCAACAGGGGCAGTTCTACCTCATATCATGGGGCTGCATGCTATAAATCAGAATTGACTCACTGGCACGGAGTGTGAGAGGTTGAAGCCTGCCCATCATGCCCAGGACCCTCCCAGGTTACCCTGGGCTGAGTGGGGGGGGGGCACATCCCGAGAGCCTGGCTGATTTGAAGGAGACTGTACAGCCCACCTCTCCTGGTTAGGAACACACACGCTCCAACACAGGCTCTGGGTTTCCCCGGGTCCCACCAAAGGCTGGAACTCAGAGTGTGCAGCCTCCAGGTCACAAGGGGGTGGACAAGTCTAGGCCCGGCAGCTGTGAAAGAATGGAATGGCGGCCCAGCGTGCAGAGAGGGCAGCAGTGGACGCACTACCATCTTAGGTCTGGCCCCTCCTCTGCAGTGCCCACTGTGAGGTGTCTGCTAGGAGCCGCATCCCCACTCCTTTCCCCATGGGATCTGTACTCCCTCCAATAGCAAGTCCTCCACCCAAACCTCTCTGAACCCTAAGGATGTCTTCTCCACAACTACCCAGTAACCAAGAGACCAAGCCCACTGCCATAGGGTTAATTCCAATGCATAGTCCCCCTACGAGACAGGACAGAGCTACCCCTGTGGGCGTCCGAGGGTGTTGATCTTTATAGGAGCAGACAGCCACGTCTTTTCCCCTTAGAGTGGCTTGTGGTTTCAAACAGCTGGCCAAAGCTTAACCCACTCGGCCACCAGGGCTCCTTAATCTGCCCAGTAGTTACTTCCGGTTACTGTTTGCTACTGTTGCTGCGACCACTTCCCGTTACGTCACTGTGTCCCGTTACATCACTGTGCAGGCAGCAAACAAGCAAGGAGCCACATCATGGCCATCATAACACCCTCGCCACTGCTTAGAACAGGGGTCCTCAAACTTTTTAAACAGGGGGCCAGTTCACTGTCCCTCAGACCCATTGGAGGGCCGGACTATAGTTAAAATAAAAAAAACCTATGAACAAATTCCTATGCACGCTGCACATAACTTATTTTGAAGTTAAAAAAACAAACGGGGCAAACACAGCCAGCGGACCGGATAAATGTCCTTGGAGAGCCACATGTGGCCCACGGGCCGGAGTTTGAGGACGCCTGGCTTAGAAGGTTCCCACTTCTGCCATGGAGTCGATCGATGCCGACTCACAGCGACCCTAGAGGGCAGGGCAGAACTGCCCCTGTGCGTTCCTGAGACTGTAGCTCCTTATGGGAATAGAAAGCCTCCTCTCTCTCCCTCGGAGTTGCTGGTGGTTTTGAACTGCTGACCTTGTGGTTAGCAGCCCAACGCGTAACCACGACACCACCAGGGCTTCGCTTAGAATCAGGCACCATCAAGAACACGGCCCCACTGTTAGTTTCTGTTCTTCACCAGCTGCCTGCTCGAAAGTGCCCCAGAGGGAAGACACAGACCCCACCCACGAAATAAACAGAACAAACCACCACCCATCTGTTCATCTGTCAGGCTGCGGTGACTTGCATGTGCTATGTGGCAGGAGGCTCTGCTACCAGTGAGAGATCATCACGGTGGGCTGGTTCTGGCAGAGCAGACAGGCTACATCTAAGGCCCGGGGTCCTAGGTCTCCGAAAAGTAGCCAACGCACCCCCTACGGATCACATCCGAAGGCTGTCTGCATACGGGGGAATTTCGAAAAGCTGGTGGGCCAATGAAATTAGAGGATCTCAGATTCCCTACTCTCACCCCCAACCAACTTTGAAGCCCCCTCATTGTGCTGGAAGATAAGAGTGCCTCCGTTGCAAGACAACAGGGGACTAAAGAAAGCAGGTCCTTCTGAGGACCGTTGTTTCCTGTGGGGCATGCGGTCGCACGAGTCAGAGCCTGCTCCATGGTCACCAACATCACTGAGCAAAAAACACCGCCCTGCCAGATCGCTCCTGCAGCGAGCCCCGAAACCCGCCCAGCACTCAGTAAGTCCACTCTGGCTCAAAGGGACCCTGTAGGACGGGGAGAACTACCCCCGTGGCTTCCCAAGGCTGGAACTCCTTACACGAGGAAACATCCTCATCTTTCTCCCGCAAAGCGACTGGTGGCTGTGAACTGCTGACCTTGCAGTTAGGAGCCCAGCACCTAGCCATGACTCCTCTCTCAGCTCCAACAACTACCATCCTGTCCTTGACAGGATCTCCAATTCGGGCTGCAATGAACTTGGTCTTCCCACCACTCGTGTAGTTTTGCTGCTAGGTCTGGGCTCCTCTGGCCCCCACCCTCCCGTGCCTGGGTGTGCAGAGATGCGGGGGGAGGGGGGGGTGTCACCCTAAGGCCGCGTGAGCTCAGCCCTGGAGGCTGCCCCGTGCCCTTCCGCGAGATGAGGCTCACCTGTGTAATGCCCTCCCTGGAGGCTGCCGTGGTGATTGCAGACGGCATACAAGTCGTACAGGAAGTCCTGAGGGTAGCCGTTGGGCAGGCGGGCGGGCTGCTTCCAGGAAGGCCAGGGGCCTGGCCTGGGCTGGGGGCTGGTGCTCCTGGGGGCCGCGTGGGGCGCCATGTTGAGGCCGGTCAGCGGGAACGTCACCAGCGTGGAGAGCTTGTTTCTCCGCTCCCCGACCTGGCAGAACCTTTTGAGGTGGATGATGAGGATGTCGGGCAGGGTCCACAGGCTCAGCTTCACGGTGCCCTGCTGGGGGACTCGGCAGTGGGGACACTTCCAGGCATCGTCCTGGGTCAGCTGGAAAGGAAGCCACAGGGACGATGGGGCCAGCCCACCACAAAGCAGCCCCCCACCCGATCCCACTAGGCGTGGCCCCAGGGCGGCACCTGCTCCTCCTTGGTGTAGAACTGAAAACACTCGTCCAGGGTGCAGCTGGACTGCTGGTGCACCTGCTGCTGCCGCTGCACGCTCTCTGCCTCCTGGACCTGCTCCTCCTGGAGGCTCCCAAAGAAGCTGCAGGGGCGGCAAATCGATGGGCACGGGGGCTTCTCATCCTCAGGACCAACAGAGGAAGTTCTCCCCCAACCCTGTGGGGCCATGGCACCCCAGTCTGGGGGGTGCCTGGGGCCCCTCCTGCATCTGCCTGTAGTGCTTCCCTTTCTCCCGAGTTCCCTGTCTCCCTGAGAGCCCAACCACTTGGCTTGTTCGTCTCTGTCTTCCTCGCCCTATCCGGGGCCTGGCCCTTCGTGGGAGATCAGTCGGACTGAACAAAGTGCATGAAACAAGGCCAAGGTCGTAGTGGTTACGAGACAGGCGGCCGGGGATGACAACCAAGAGCACGGATGGCCTCCTGCCGGACGGCCTGGTTCGAGCCCCAGCTTTGCTGTGTGGCTCTAGGCAATTGCTCCGCCTCGCCGCGTCTCCGTTTCCCCATCTGGAAAACGTGAGTCACCGCTGGGTTTACCGGATCAGGTGTAATGAACACAAAGTTGGCTCGTACATACGAGCAGGCTTCCAAAAGTCCATGCGGAGAAGACAAAAAATCCACTATCTTTCTAGGTCGCTTTCCCCATGAATTTTTTAAAGTCCTTTAAAAGATCATGGATTGCCCCCACCCCACCCCCACGCATGTTTTGACGGCCCCTCATATAGGCAGAGTGCTCAGCGGGCGATGATGGTTCAATGGTACAATGTTTGCCTTCAAGTCAATGTAGGGGCCAAGGCACTTTGAGCAGCCACCTCCCGTCTATCAGTGGAAGTGTGTTCTGAAGCTGAACGGCTTCTCCACTAGCAGTGTAGGTTCTACACTACAGCCGAGTTTCCACCCTACGACGAGAAAGAAAGCCCTGGAGATCCACTCCTGAAAATCAGCCGGTGCAAGTTCCACACCCACTGGCAGCTAATCGTGGGGGATGGCACAGAATCAGTGAGCCTTTATTCCACTCTGCTGTTGATGGGCTCCCCGGAGCCCGGGTCAATGCATGGCATGGACAGTAGCTCTGGGACGGAGTAAGTGCTACAGGACTAATTGCCTTCACTAGTCACCACACGCACACCGCCCCCTCCACCATCCTCATTCTCACTAGGGGATGGATGGCACAAGGGACCCGTGGGTGCAGCCTCACATCGTGTTGGGAGAAAGCTGGGTCTGGGCAAGATGTGTTTGACTGGGCAAGCCCTGGCTTCGCTTGGCTCGGGGCCCTTCGGTTGAACTCACCGCTCTTTAGCATGGCGCTCCCATTCCACGGCCAGCTTGATGTGGGGGGGCCCGCCCGGCCTCTTAAGTTGCAGCACCCTGAACAGAAAGCAAGGAGAGCCCTCAGGAAACACAGAGTCGTGCCCACAGCTTGGCAGGCTCAGCCCCAGGCCTGACCTTCCCAACAGAAATGTGCCAACTGTACCCCAAGACCCGGATTCCTGACCCACAGAGCGATGATCTCTTCCCTGCGGAGCTGGACTCCCCACCGTTTCCAGTGTGGAAGAGGGTGGGGAGGCTGGCAACCGGAGGACATTCCCCGAGAGAGCACACTGACTGAACTAGCGAGCTCTGGGGACTTCGCCTTCTCCTCTCACCCCACGGGGATCTGAAGAGCCTCCAGGATCTGGGTGGCTGCAGGGACACACACCAGGTCTCCCACTGTAGCCCCAGCTACTTGCTTACTCGAACACCTACACCAATCCCCAGCCCAG